TTAGGTAACTACAAACGAAAAAAATAAAATAAAATAAAATAAAACAATATTTTTCTTAAATAAATATACTAAATTAATCATTGGACCAACAAGAGTAACAAGAGGTTTATGAACTTGTAATAATTTTTCAGCTGTTGATGGTAAATCTGAATCACCCGTTCCAGTTTTTTTAACCTAATCAATAAAATAATATTAGTCTTTTTTTTTTTTCAAAGGACTCTTTTATCTTACTTGTAATGCTCGTTTAACAATATCGAGTACATAAGTAAGATCTCGATCAAGTAAAGATAATAATTCAAGTAAAACATTCGTCATTGCTCGATCAGGTGTTGTAAAAGTTAATTGATCTTGAATTAATTGAAGTTGTATTGATACTAAACCTTTAAAAAATAAATAAATAAATTCATTTAAAAAAAAAAAAAAAAATCTTTTGTTATTCTATTTACCTTGTTCAATCATTGTTTGAATTATTTCACGTTTTTCAGATAATATTGTTAAACAAGAAACAATACCTTGAACAAATGTACCTGTTGATTTATCTTTATTTTGTATAATAAGATTAAATAAATTTGTTATAAGATTTGATTGTAAAAGAATTGAAAATGAATTAGATGTATGATCAATTAATATCCATATTGTTTGAATAAAACGTAAACTAAGTAATGCAATTGGTTCTTCACGTAATATATGTCGATCACAAATAATTGGTAAAAATGTTTGATATAATTCTTGTTTTATATCATGTTGTATATGTATAGGTAAAACACAATCAGTTAATTTTAATTCATTTAATAATTCATTAAGTATACATAAAGCACATAGAGAAAATTCATCAACATTTGATGAAACAAGTAATTGTGAACAAAGTGGAAGAAGATCACTAAGAAGTATTTCACTAAATAATGATAAAAGATCACGTGCACGAACAAATGCATCTAATGTTTGAGAAACATAAGATATGATTTCAGTTAATGATGATGGACCTTAAAAAAAACAAATGAATTCTTATAATTAAATCTTCTCAGATGTGAAAAAAGTTTCCTAATCTAAAGAGATTATCTTATTATATTAATTTTACCTTTTGTTAATTCACTATTTAATTCTGCAATGAGTTTAATATTCGTAAAAAGTTTAAATAATTTTTTAATTGACATTAATGTAACAACACGAGAACGAATACACTAAAGAAAAAAAGAAAAATAATGAAATAAATAAATTATTATTTTTTATTAATTTACATGATTTCCAATAATAGTTGATATTAATCGAAATGATGATAACCATTTTTTAAATGCATCTTTAGCTGATGATGTTTTTCTTGTTTGTTCGGTAGATGATAAAAGTTCATCTAGAATTTTTATTTCGAAAATTTTTTTTTTTAGATATAAATATTACCTAATATTCGATTTAGATGACTTGATAAAAGTGTTGTTAAACGATTAAGTGCTTCATGTAATAAATCATTTTCATCTGGATCAGCTGATGTACGACGAACATCACGTTCAATTGCTTGAAAAAGTCTAATGAAATGAAATTTTATAAAAAAAAAAAAAATAAATAATATTAATAATGAATTTATCGACATACTTTGTATCACTTAATGTATAAAGACTTTCACTGTATGTAGATAATAAAACATAAGTTAAAGTATATGCTTTAGCACGAATAAGAACATTTGTATTTTCATAAAGAACATTCATTTTTGGCAATATATCCTATAATAAATAAGTATTAAATAGAAAGAAAACTAGGTTTTTTTTCATGAACTAATTTTAGGCTGACGATGGAAACCTCCTCGGATGTTTCCTTCCGATTTCCATGACTTTGTCCTTATAGACACAATAGAATCCTAGAAGGATTTGCGGCTCTATCATTTCTTTCGGAAGGTATATTCATAGTCTTCTTGAGATTGGGTCATCGGAAAAATGAATTGAACGCATTGCGATTTGAAATGAACAGAAGAATACTCTGAAATTTTTAGATAGAATAAATGTGCTATACTAAAGGTATTCAATTTTTCCAATACTTGTGAGAAAATCTTCTATTTTTCAAAAATTGAGTATCTTTAGAAGAATAAATTTATTCTGCTTGAAAATTGCAGAGTATTGTCCTATGCAATAGATCTACATATAAACGAAAGCTCAGGTCAAAATTCATTTTTTTCGATGAATCTATACCAATGGAGAAAAAAATCAGAACTATGAACTAGGCCTCGAAACGAGCCACCCGGTCCGGGCTGAACCCACAACGCTGTTGGGCCGGGCCGTTCGGTCCGACGATTTTATCCTTTTTTTGACTCACTCTTGAGAGGGAAATTTCCTCGCCACTCCCTCCCAGTCGTCACTTTTTTCTGAAGAACGAAAAATATGCAATAGCTCTCCATGGAAAAAAAAAATCTTTGTAAACGAAATTTTCTTCAGACTCGAGCCGGATCTAAGCAATGTTCGGGCCACTTTGGGTCGGGTTATTAAAAAAGCGGCCCGATTTCGAGGTCTGCTATAAACTCATCTTCTGTCAGAAGGGACACGAGCCTAAATCCTTTTAGGATTTTTCCTAGGACACTATATTGTGTCTACAGGAAAAAAATCATTGAAATCAAAGGTCAACATCTGAGAAGATTTCCTATTGAATAAAATTTATTAGCAAATGACTCAAAATATTCATAAATTTCAATGAGTTCGAAAGGTCTTCCAAGTCTACGATTTATTTCATTTGATTGATTATCTTTCTTGAAAGTTTATGTATGAATAACATCGATCGTTTTCCTTCTTTCCAAGCATGATCGAGAACATATTAGATTAAAGTAAATATGCATAATCCTTATATTAGAATCATATTCAGCAATACATTTACAAAAATTACTTTACTGACAACAAGCTTTTCATATACACTGAAAACAAACGAGAATATCTTGGATATAAGTTCAGTAGAACGACCATAAATCGAGAAGAAATGCCTAATGATACGAATCATTTCAAGATTTTTATCTACCTATGAGCAATATATGAGTTCAAACGGAACTCCCTACGCGTCATAGACTATGACAATATACAATCAAAGACCATAAATCAAGAACATCTCGTTATAATATATGAATTATTTTCTTATTGCATTTTCGGACAGGATAAAGTAAAAAGATGATAAAAAAATATGTCTCAAAATAGATAGAATAAAATAATCTTCTTATAATTAAGAATGTCAACTACACTTTATTTTATAATTTTAATCTCATAAGGATTATCCTAATATCTTTTATAAATAAATATCTATCTATTGAATATATTTTACTTGTATAAACATTGTACGATTCTTTGTTCGTTTAGCTAGAATAGCTAAAAGTGTTATATTATATTGAAGAACTTTTGATGATGTTGATTGAAATATATCGCTTTTAATAGTCACTTTATCAAAAACAGATTGAACAATATCAAGATATGATAAACCCATATGACATAAAGCCTAAAAACAAAAAACAAAACAGCCATAAAACGAGAAAAGAAAATCTTCTTTTGTTTTTTTTTACAGCTAAAGCCGAAGCACGTATGTGTTCATTATTACCACCTGTACTAGAAATATTCCAAAGTGCAAGAGCAATATCTGATGTAGCTAATTTATCTGCTTGTTTATCGGCAACAAGTAAAAGATTTTCAATTATTTTACATGCAGCATGATTAAGTGCAATATCATCCTTAAGAAGAAAAAAAAAGACAACTAACCTTTTGTTTATTTATTTTTTTTTTTCGAATAATTTAACTTACACCATCTTTAAGACATCGACCAATTAACTGATATGTAAAACCAGGTACAAGAGAATTATCTGATGCCTAAAAAAAAAAAAAAAAAAAATCAAATTCAATTAATATTCTATAATAAATAAACAAAATAAAAAAACATTACTCGTCCAGCAATAAATATCATAATTTCGCCGATAGCTTGTAATAAATATAATTTAAATTTAGTCTCTTTACTATTTGCACGAAGTGTCTCAGTAAGTGATACAAGTATCTAAAAAATAAATAAATAAAAAATTTAACCATCTTAGTTTCTTAATTAGATTAATAGAAAGTAATCTTATGAGAGAACGTTCCCAACTGTCAAATATCATTTCACTTGAGACTAATAAAAAAAAAAAATTCTGTCTTTTTTTTCCGGTCTTTGCATGTTGAGTTATGAAGCTAGAACAAAACATATCCTTATTGAGACATCAGTTTATCATAAAAAATTTCTTTATTTTAAAATACAATCCAAAATAAGTATCTCTTTTGAAAGATAAATGTTATGATAAGGATTCATTTGTTTTTTTGGTTAAAATTTTAATGGCAAAGTTTATCTAAGGACATTCGAAAATCAATCATTCAAGGTCACAATTGTTCTATGATTATAGAGCAAAAAAAATTGACTGCAACATTCTATAATTCGACAAGCGACGACCGGAAAATCAAACAAAAACAAACTTCTCGGTTTTTTTTACTACTCATCATGATTGATTGAATGGCAATAATCTCAAACAAAGAGCAATTTTTACAGTTGGAAACATTTTTATCGTCAGATTGGAACTATAAATGAAACAAGATTCTATTGGCATTTTTTCTTTTGCTGTTCTCTTCGACCTACGCTAATTTTCACAAAAGGCATAGACTTCTTTTTTTTTTTTTCTTCTGAATTTTTTGCTCTCTATAGCACGTATTCTTTTTTCTATTATCGTACTTCATGTGACAAATCAAGCATTCTGACAGGAGACGTGTTGATTAAAGAAAAAAAAAAAAAGAAACTGATGATATATAGATAGAGCCGCATTTGTAGTAATAACATTCTTTCTAATATAATTTTCTATATGTTGTATTATATATATACGTACATCGGTAAGTGAAGACGAAAGAGGAAAATTATCAGTTGCTTTATTGAATATAATTCCAAGTAGACGAGTTGCTTTCATTTTTCTAAATAATATAAAAACAAAAATAAGTAAATTCATGATTATTATTATTATTTAGAAATTCATGTCTCATATAATACGTCGTCATTCAATGGAACATTTAGAACTTTATGATCTTGATAAATTAAAAATAAATTATCAATTAACATCACAACTATCTCCTACATGTAAAGATAATCATCCTTATTCATTAATTAATTCAAAACATGAACATGATCAATTTCTTTGCAATATAAAACGTAATAAAATTGATCCAATCTATGCTGCTACACCCATGTTTACAACAATACCACAAAGATTAAACGAAGAAAATTGTCAACAACAATTAATTGATTCATCTATTCATTTAGAAAATATTAAAACATTATCTTGTCGATCCTTAAAATCAACTGAAGAAGAAGGAAAAAATAATGATAATAATCATCAATTAAAACATGATGATTGTAAAGAAATTATTGAGAAAATATTCAATAGACATTAGAAACCTTGAATTAAAATGTTTGTTGTTGTTGTTGTATGCGTACATTTAATTTAGGTGGATTACTTTTTTTTTTGTACTTTGAACAAAATTCTCAATTTAAAAGAAAAAGAAAAGAAAAATTCTAATACTTACAATTCCATAGTAGTACCATTTGTTATTAAATTCAAAAGATCTTTATGAATTTCTTTAGCAATAAGTGCATCAGCAAATGGACCTGAATTTGCTTGTTCAAGACAAGTAAATCCAATATAATTTAATAGATTTGGTTTCATACGCATTCCATTTGGATTTGTAGGTGATCCTGTTGTCGTATTTGATAATTCTTTTTTAATCATATTTGCATGTTCTTGAAGATCAACAGATGATAATCGACTCAAATTTTCATCTTAATATTAAAAATAAAGAAATATTTATTTATACAGATATATAAACTATTTATAATCAGATGTTTAGTAAGAGGAAGAATAAATAAGATATTGAAACTAATACCAATAAAATTTTTTTTTTGTTTTGTGTAAATATCTTAAGTATGTTGAAGAGGTTATTATTAACCCTTAAAAGCCAAATGTCCCTCTCAAAGGACATTAATTTAACAATTTATCTTTCTTTTTTTTTTTTTCAGTCATTAGTCCATTAGACTATCTCTATGTTGATAATTCTTTCAGAATTTTTCGGTGCTATGTTTTGAGTATGAGACTAAAAAAAAGCTTCAAGAATGTTCATTTCTATTGTTCTAAAGACTTTGAATATTGAATATATCTAAGAAACTCAATCACAAATATTGATAATTATGAATTTCAGTTAGACGAGCTTATGAAATATGGAATAAAAGTTTGTTCACATCTCGGAAAGGAAGAGCCATGGGCATAAACGCTTTTTGAAGCTTTTTTTTTATTTCATTGTAACTTTTTTATGATCACAAGATGAAGGTCAAAGCTTGAAAACAACGAAGATTTTAGTTGAAAATTCATACATTGAGGTACCATGTCAGATATTTTAAAAGTACAACATGATGCAAGATCACATAGACAGTCTCTATGATAATTACCAATGACACTGCCTTATTTTACCATATATATGAACTTTTCTTATTTTGTTTTTCAATCTACTGATGAAAGCTCAAGGTCGTTAGGGCTAAAAAAAAAATGCCATCGTCAGTTATGGAATAAATTCTTTTTAATGAAATTTTGATATTTCAATAGTGAACTGTTCTATTCATTTAAGATCAATATTATAAATAAAGTTTTTGTTATGAACAATTCTGTTATACATTCTATTCAATAGTTATTTTCTTAGATAAAAAAAAAATTCTTCTCTTTAACTATGTATATAAAAATTTCAATATAAATTCTTACATTTTCCTAATTGAAATGGTAATAATTTATTTTCAAATTTAAATGGTAATGTTTTTTGAATAGTTTTATTTTCTATAATTGTTGTTGGTTGTAATTCAGCTTTTGAAAAAAGCATTTTTCGAAGACGTTCAATTGTTTCACCACCAAATGATGTTGATTGTTCATGTGTATTAATTGATGAATAATCATTACGATGTATTTTATTACCATCAGTTTCATCTGGTTTATTTTGTTGAGCTATTTGAATAGATGTTTTTGTACAACTTAAAAATTTTATTTTATTATAAAATTATACTATTAAAATAATGCCATATATATAGTACCTTAGACTAAATGATACATTTGATTCTGGTCGATCTGTAGTAGCTAATCGAGATGATATTGGTGGACGATCTAAATATTGTTTATTGATAAAATTTTACAATAAAAATCTTTTTTTGTTAAAATACCATGTGTTTCATTTTGATTGACACTTTTCTTTGCTGCACCTGTTTGTGGTCGAACAAGATGACTTAATTGACCAATCCAAAATGGATGAGTTAATATACCTGGCCAATCGAGTCTAAAATAAATAGATTAGATTTTATTGATTCTTACAATGAACCAAGTAGAAAATATGAATTCTAGATACTGTCCTATTTTATAATCATTATTTCTAATTTTAACAATATTCATTATACCTTTTAGTTGGTTCTTTAACTAATAAACCTTGTAATAAACTAGCAAATTCAATTGATGGTTTAGCTGAACCTCTTGCCATTGGTAAAACAAAACGATCATTAAGAATTTTTTGTGTTAATTTATTTGCATTTTTTTCATCATATAATTGTCGTCCTAAAATATATATATTGAAAATAAAAAAATTTTATCATAAACAAAAATTTTACCAGCAAACATTTCATATAAAATACATCCAAGTGACCATAAATCAGAACTTATAGAATATTCAGCACCACGAAGTATTTCAGGTGCTGTATAAAAATGATTCTCTAAAAAAAAAAGCAGACATTGACATTTTTTTTTATTATAGATGAGTTTTTTTGTTTCTTTGATTAATTTTCTATTTACCAGTTTGTGCTTTTGGTCGTTCTTTTCCTCGATAAACATCATCAAGATAATTATCATAAGTTTCATCAAAAATTACTTGTAAATTTTCACCTTTCATTCTTGATAATGTCATATTTGCTAATTTAAATATATTTGAACCATCCGAAACAATCTATTATTATAAAAAAAAAAAAAGAAAAAAGAAAATTTTAAAATTTTATTTTTAATACTTTTTCAGGATTAAGATCACAAAAAAGAATATCTTGTTGATGAAGATAATATAAACCTTGACATATATGAACACCAATTGTACGTATAGATATTTCCGGTAAAGATCCATCAGCTTGTATAATTGATTTAAGTGAACCACCTTTTTTTTTCAAAAAAATAAATAAATAAATGAACAAAAAAGCAAGATTTATTATACCATCACATAAATCCATAACAAGCCAAAGATGATTTGTTGTTTCATACCATTCTCGAAATTTCATTATATGTGGATGATCAAGTTCATACATTAATCGAACCTATACAAATTTTATATAAACTAATAAAAAACAAAATCATCAAGGAATATATACATACGAGATTACTTAATTCATGTCGTTTATATTTATCAACACAATAGATCATAACAAAATCAATTGATCGTTTTATTCGACCACGATAAACAATACAAGAATCACGTTTATGAATTTCTTCATATATTAAAAAATTATCCATTCTAGTTAAATCACTGACCAACTGTATGCGTATATCACGAAAAAAAAAAAAGTAACATTGTCATTCCATCGGTCATGTTATTTCTCATAGCAACAGTCACTATGAGTAGACAAATGTCGCTAGTAGTCAATGTATGAAGGCGTTAGACGATAAATATTACACATTTGACAAAAGAAAATAGTGATTGTAAGTTAACTCTCCTTCCTTCAAACGTATTCCGATCGATGCATGACAATGAGAGTGAGTGTAGATCAATGATTTTAATGCTGGTAATAGTCATAGCAACATTGGCAAAGGCGCTCGTAATAGACTTTAGCAACCATGAACAACGGGCATCAGGTAGCAAAAAGAAGGCGCCGAACAGCATTTACAACAACAGACTCTCAGGAGCAGGGTGGCCAGATGGAAAATTTCAAAATCAGAAAAAATAGTTCAAAAATCAGAAAATTGGCAGAAAAAAGATTCATCGAAATCAGAAGAAAATCAGAAAATATGTTCAACGTGAAATATCAGCACTGATGTTTCCTATATCATTCGGATCAGTCGAAAAATGCGGATCTGTTTTGATTATTTCCGCAACTGACGACTAGCCACGGTTATTTTCTTTGTTCTCACGATTTTCCAGGGTAAAACTCGACGGTTAATCTCAGTCAAGCTCCTAGTTAATCAGATTAGTAATCGCTAATTTGTCAGCTGATCACTAAGTGATCTGATTCACTGAGAGGTTAACCGTGGGTTTTTACACTGGAATATCGTTGGAACAAAGAAAATAACCACGTCAATCGACGGTTATGATCATAACCGAAATAAGCCGTCGGTTTTCAATCAGTACTCCTGGCATGGGTTGGTCTAATATAGAACTTATTTTTCGAATTCAATATGGTTACTGTTGCGTACTAGAAAGAACTAGTCATAATCTTGAAAGTCGAAACTAAGCAACCATTAAAAGAGAATGTTGCTCTGTCCGTTATTACAACTCTTTGGTTCGTTTTTTTGGCCAGCCATCGCTGGAAGAGATGATATCTATAGAAATAATTGCACAGATAAAGTGAACTTGTTAGCAATTTAATAGTGAAGCCAAGAGTTTCAAACCAATTGATTCCTGTATTCACTCCATTACATAGACGAGAGCTTCAACAGAATAATTAATTATCCTCCACTTCTGGTTTCGGCATTTTCTCGTTGTTCTGGAGTAATTAAAAACCTACTTTTATGGATTTTTTTACTTCAAACTACAAAAATTAATAATATAGAGACAGAACTACCATTTACTAAAAAATCAAATATATTTCAAAAGACTGAACAGAAACTTTTTGTTTTGAGTTTAACGTGCATGTATCTAGAAAAGAACACTGCCTCAACTAGAGCTATAGCTATTAGTAAATAGAATAAATGACATGCTAGGTTACTCAAAATGAGGAATTAGAAAGTAGAAATTATAAATAATTATATTACAATATCAACATTTTCTTTCTTCAAGAACTACACGTTTTACTCGCAAATTAATGCTTTTGCTTACTGTGACACACCATTAATCAACTGGTCGATGCAAAGAGATGTAGGAAAAATCAACTAAAGATTAAATACAAAAGAGGCAACTAAACAATGACTGAGCTTCGAAACTTCGTTGTGGCGTCAGATCAGATTCTCAACTCGTACAGGACAATTAAAATAAAAACCTTCAAAATCAGAAAAAATCAGAAAGCAGAAAACCATCAGAAAAGATGCTGAAAATCAGAAAATTTCTGAAAAATCAGAAGATCTGGCCACCCTGCTCAGGAGTACAAGAAAAACTGATTTTCGAATTTCGACTTGAAACTTTGTACAGAGAGATTGACCTTAACCAGAGCAGTTTGGTATGAAAGTATCTGATCT